AAATATATGTATGCTGCGTAGGATCAATGTCCCAATGCGCGCGTAGTGGTGCATATGCGTGTGTAGCCAATACACGTTCAGAAAAAAGTTTTTAGCAAGCCTCGAGTCTAGAACGTACGAAGAAAGAAGAAGCAGAAGAAGAAGAGATAGAGAGAGAGAGAAAGAGTAAGAGAAAAAGAGGGACCACCTGCCCGCAGACTTTAGTCGAAAAACCCCACCCTTGGTCAACTGCTGTTATACATATATATTCTGTATGCGTGTGTGTGTGTGTGTGCGCTAGCTCGCTGCTGCGTGTGTATAAGCTGGCAAAAGTGCATTGGCCTCGTGAGTGCGTCGACTTTGACTTAGCCCGAGCCACTTAGAATTTTTGTGCGTTCTCTCTCTCTTATAATATATAAAAAAGAGCTCGAGTGTGTATACGCGCGATGTGTTTGCGCGCCGCGCGAAGAATAATTTTGTATGGTTCTACTACTACTACTATGCCTCTCTGCTCTCGTTGTCTTCGAAAACAAACGCGGAGCGCGAAAGAAAGACATGTAACATAATGACTGTCCCTCATGCGCTGCTTGTGTGTGTGCAGTGTTGTTACTTTTTTTTTTTTTCATTTTTCGGCTCTCTGTTCTACGCGTCGAATGCCAAATTCGTTTGTTAGAAATGCAAAGTACACTGTACACTGCTGTGCGGGCCACATAGCGACACGCCACGAATATTCCCGAGGCTCGGCCGTCACATATACACACAGACACATGTGCTTATAATATTATTATGTATCGAATGAATGCCGATATTCACGCGATTTTTTTTTTTTTTTTGAAACGCGTACATAGCTCGCAGGCTTTTGTAGATGTATGTATAAATGTATGCGTGATACATATCGCGCGCCGATGATTGAGCCTATAAAAGCTCACGAGCATTCCAATGCATTTCGGGGCCACGCGATCGTATGTATTTTTTCTTTCAGGGTGGCAAATACCTACATATATATATGCCTGCGCTTAAATATATAATATAATATGAAAAAAGAAAGCAAAAAATACGTCACGGTCGAATTAGCATAATCACAGCTCCGAGGCCGACACACGCGGTGCAGCATGGCCCAGCGTACATTGTTTCTTTCAGAAATACGGCTCGCAAATGCTCTATTTGTACGCGCGAGAGCGAGATTTGGAATGAAAAAAAACCCCAAAAACAATATATTCAAAAAACTACCTGTAGCTCGGCGTATATTATATTTCATTGAACGAAAAACTACCGCTGCGTGCAGTGTCCATATAGCGACAACACTACATGCACACAGGGTCCATCACACGCGACGACGACGAGTGGACTTTTAAAACGATTTCTCTCGACGCGCGTAGCTTTTTTTCACATGTGGAGAATAAAATATGTACGGTATATGACCGCGGTAATATATAAGCTATGAATAGTCAACGCAACTGACAACTACGTAATTAAACCTAGTGTCGAGAGAAATGCAAAAATATTCAACGAGGGCTTGGGACGAGAGCTATTTATTTGGGAACCGGATGCCGTGTGTCAATTGAAACTTTTAAGTATCTAAATTTAAATCACAATTATTAAACAAAAAGAAGAAGTGGGAGAGAGAGAAAAAATTGTCGACAGTTTTTCTATCGTCAAATATATTGTCAAATATCTTGACGAAAATTCGATAATTTTCGTCCGTACGTATATGCCTGCAGCAGCGCCCGAAAAATCACCGTTTAATAAACTCTTCCTCGATATATATTTTGGCACACTCGAATATGTACGTATGTGTGTTTTATGCATAGTATCCCAAAATTTTTTAATAAAAATCGTTAATCATGCACCCGTGTAATTTAATACTTCAATGGAATATCATTCTGCATTCAGCGAGATGCACGACGCGCGCACATATGTGTGTATATATGCTTTATGCATATATCCTACATTGTTTAATTAGTGCACACGACAATTATTCGCTGAAAATCTTTCCGAGTGACATATGCTCACGTTTATATACGTGTGTGTGTACGTACGTACGTATGCGCGCATTTACTTTAAAATGTAATTTTACATTCGTGAAATATTGGAAATAAAATCACGAGTTCGTCGTCGTCGTCGTCGTCGTCGTATACTAGCATTTGCTGCAGTGTTGTGAAGATCGATCGCGTAAACGTGTTTCAGTACCTCTACATGCATATACGGTCAATCTTAATCACACGCTCGCTCGAGCAATCAACGATAGTGCATATATGCATAAAAAAATATATACATTCGTATACGCACTTGGAAAAAAATATAAATAAAATATTAATACTCGTGTGTGTGTGTGTGTGTGTGTGTGTGTGCAGCATAGATGAGAAGACGTATGGAAAGGCCACTTTTGGAAACGTGTTTGCGTATACGCGTTTTGATCGATGAGCTGCTGCTGCTGCTGCTGCACGATCGGTGCAGCTCGTAATCTTTAAAGGCAGAGATCGCGCGTCGACGGTGTCGAATTTTTTACCTTTTTTTTTATCTTGCAGCTCGTTCCTGCCGAAAAAACATGTACCTGACGAGCCGAAGATGCGATGACGACGATGATAAAATTGTTAGAGAATTATTCGATCGTGTTGCCCAGAAAATTCGGCAAACATTAGAAACTCATCATTTTTATTTTTACTCGTCGTGGAAAATTTTTTGCCGCGTTGAAAATCGTCGTTTTCTTCTTCTTTTTTTTCGCGATCTCTCGAAAACACAAAAATTTTCGCCGGTTACAAAACTGCGCGGCTTACAAAGTATATATGCGTAGTAGTGGCAAAAACGCAGCAACAGTGTCGAATAGCTGATAGTAATTTTAGCTCGAAAGATTTTTCAAGCGAGAGAGAGTGAGAGAGACGGCAATAAAAAGATTTTCGGCCTGCGTATGCTGGATGTATGCGAGCGAAGATGCAGCAGGAGTCGAAGCAATAGCTACTACACTACGTGCTGCGCTTTTTTTCGCCCGCGCCGCGAGTGAGAGAGAGAAGTTCGTGTGCACGCAGAAGCAATTTTATTTTGAGACTCTGTTTAGTTTTCTGCGCGCTCGTAACAGATCGCGAGAGAAAGAAAGAGTGGAAAAAAAGTCGAGCAGCTATGCATAAAAGCTGCGATGAGCCAAGGCTATAATAGAAACGCGAGCATATTCTAATTGTACAACGAATTAGAAATTCCGAATGCTCTTATCGTTCGTTACGGGCCTAGCATGTGAATTTTTCGTCGACTCGTGACTTCTGCGATATAAATGCATCCGCTGCAGAATAATCATAGCGATCGTCGAAAATTTGATTTTTAAATAGGACAACGAAAAAATAGCCGGGGCCCCATTTTAGGTAAAACGGCAAGGAGGGAGAAGAAAAAGAACGTAATTATAACGACGGTGCGCCTCTATACATACAACAACTAAACAAGGTTAAAAAATCACGTTGAATGTTTATCGCTTCCGCTCGGTGCGAGAAGCCACTGGCAAAAAGAGCTGCATACATTGGCCCGAGCAGCGGCAAATTTAGTCATTGTTGCACTATATATAATGCGGTGCGTCCCGAGCTGATTTCTCGTACCTACTACTATATAACGTCGTCTATAATATACCGCTGCAGTGCATATAGCTAGCAGTAGCAGCAGAGGTGGGTGTCACGGCTTCGTGGACACGCCGCTGCCGAAAAATACGTATATAATGCCCCGCTGCCTCGCTGCCTTTTTTTCGGCGGTGGCTCTCTTCCTTCCAGTAATTATTTCATTGTGTATCCTGTTGTCTTGGACTCTCCCACGCGCGCGCGCGCAAAGCAAAGGCAACCTGGCGCATCTTTTTTTTCGCCCCTATACAATCCATTCACACAGAGAAAGAGAGAGAGAGAGAGAGAGAGAAAGAGAAAGAAAGAAAGCCCAGGATCTTTATCTGCACGCGGTCTATATATCGTATAATGCACACACCGAAATTCGTGGCGAAATTTTATATATCTATTGCAGTCGGTCGAGGGTCTCGGTGCGCGCGTCCATATACGATGCGCTGGTGTGCACCTTTATTTTACCATTTGTTTTTATTCCCTCTCAGATTGTACGTATAACGGCACTGTAATGCACGTACTTCAAGGTATAAACGCACGGTATAATACTTGAATATCTTTCCGGTTTATGCGTGAATTATAATTTCTAATTTCTTCTTTTTTTGCGAGTTAAGCTTTTATAGATGCACTGGGAACGTTAGATTTAGCTAAAAGTTATCTATGAAAAATTAAGTTGAAGATTTTTCAATAATTTGAGTTTTATTTTTTTAGTAAATTGGTACTTACGTATCGGTACTCACTACTGAGAAACTCATCTAATACGTACAGTAAATACGAAGAGTATCTACGATAACCTAAATCGAAAAACGTATTTACAGTAAAATGAATGAAATTGAAAAAACCAAAATCAGATGTTTTAAGTAGATGGAAAAACATATAATTAAAATAAAAAATCAATAAATAGCTATTTAAGAATAGCTGTTGAAAAAAAATTTATTTCTATAAAAAATTAGAACCCAAAAAGTTAACAATTTAATTATAAATTTAAAAGCAAGGTAACTTTAGAACATAGTTTATAAAAAAAATTAAGAATCAAAGTTAATTAAATTACAGAAATGAAATTCAACTCGATAGTAAACAAATCCCGACATGCTAGTTATGAAATTTAGACTAGATAATTAAACCGTCATTTAGTCCGTTCCCATGAATCATTGTAATTTCACTCAAACCATTTTAGATGATTTTATAAAGTGAACCTTTTTCAGGCACTCATTAGGTAAAATGGAAAATTGAGCGAAACGTTGACGCGAAGTTCAGATTTGGCCACTCGAGCGCTGTCTATCACAGGCTCAAAAAAATAACGCCGTGCAATTTCTGTCTCCCTCGCATAGTACGTGCTCGCCTCCGCGTGTCTCCTCGCTCGTGTGTACAGTCCAAAGATCGCAGTCCATCAGTATACACGTGTACGCTACGACGACTGCAGCTTGTGATTTGTGTTAAACCGACTGTGTATAATGTGGTCCGACGACAGTTTTTCTGGTGAAGAAGACGAAGGTTATGACGATGATTTCGAGTACGCGGATAACCTAAAAAAATTAGCAAGGTTGAAGAGTATGCGTGAAAAGGTCAATTTGGAGAACGAACATGAGCGATTTGAATTTCTTCGTCAAGTTTATCCCTTAATCAGCAATTGGAATTACGAACTTGATCTCTCTGGTGTCCAAGACATTTTTCAAAAAAAAGAAATCGAGGATCTTCTCGAAGATGCCGTTAAATATGAAGATGGATCAACCCGTATATATGTAGGAGGACAATTTATTGATTTCATTGCTCAGACCGGCTACAAGCACGAGCCCGACATAGATCAAGATGGCAAGCCAATTTTGTGTCAAACTACGCCAGTACATCACGCCATAGAATTGTTCCCTTCCTGGGATTTCGTGGTCGATCATCTTTTTGAAATATACGACAGATACGATGTGAATTACACGAACGATGACGGTCTGACTCATTTTCATGTGGCCTGCAAATTCAACTGCTGTGGGGTCGTTCAAAAATTCCTCGAGTTAGGGCAGAATCCCAATATCGTCGTGGAAACAACAGGTAATTCACCGCTACACATGGCCTTGAAATACGAGAGAAACGAAGTTGTCGAATTGCTGTTGAAAAGTGGGGCCGAACCGAATTTGGCCAATAAGGATGGATCGACACCCTTGCATATTATTTGCCAAATTGACAGCATTGATGATTTCCTAATTGACGAAGATATTTACGATTATGGTGAAGAATATCGTCACTTGACGGAGCTGTTCTTCAAGATAAACGACGAGATGCAGCAGACCGTGCAGATTGACGCCCGGGACAAGTGGGGCTGGACACCGTTGCAATGGGCCGTGGCGAGTCTCAAGCCGGATGTGTTCGACGTACTCTTGGATCGTGGCGCTGATCTGTCCAGTTTTGTTTTCCCCACTGAGGATTACTTCGGCGAATTTTGTACTCAGCGACACGAAGAATCATGGCCACATTTTACATTGAGAGTAGCGTCTAGTGTTCTGATCACCGTGGAACGTCTCGAGAAAAGAGGATACGTGCTGGAACGCAGCGACGCCCAGACGATTTTACAATTGTTGGTCGAGTACAATTTTTTCGGAAGCTCGGGGGATCTTAAAAAATGGTGGTATGACGATTCGCGTTTCGTAAGAGGTGCTAAAAAATTGAAAATGATGAATCCGAATCTGTCGCTCTACGACGTTATCCAATTACGACCCGAAGAGGCGGCGAAACAACTAACTTATAAGGATTACTTCAAGTTCGATTACGCAAATAGACGGTGCTATCCTTACAGAGTTCTTTGTTCTTACCATCCGCTCGAAATAATGCTGAGAAAATTTTGCCGACGCTGGGCACTGGAGCCGTTTATGGAGTTGACCTGCAATCGTCTGCCAATTCTTTGCTGTGAAATAATCTTGGACCAGCTAATGAATCGAGATTTATGTAACATTTGCTTGACATTTGCAGTCCAAAGCTCCACATGATGGCGATAAACGTATGTCTGTTTAACGAGTGTTTTTTATGTTATTAAATCTTGTAGATTTTACATATCATTTAAATAAATATAATTAAAAACATTGAATTTATTGGTTTTCTTATATTTTTTATGTCTGTTTTTATTTAATATTCCTTATCTTCCATTTTACCCAAATAGATAAAATAAAAAAAAATTGAATTCTTAATTTGAAAATCATAACCAAGTTTCACAGTATATCTCGCAATTGTTTTTAAAAAGTTGATTATTTACTTTAACAATAATCTTTTTCTTTTCTTAATTTTTCAATTTGTTTCCCAATTGTTTCATTCTCAATAAAGTCGTTCATTATCTCAATAAAGAATAATAGATGATTACATAAACTCAAATGAAACTTGAGGGTACGTTTCCATTTTTGTAATTTCATTCAAATTCATATATATTTTCTAATTATTAACGAATTTTCTTCAGGCGCGTTAGGTATGAGTAATTAACTCGTGAAAGACGAACGAGCGAGATACCTGCATAGACTACTAAGAGACTGCGTCGCCGTGAAATTCAGAATCTGCCACTTGAGCGCTGTCTATCGCAGACTCAAAACGACTAGTTCTCTCGCGCTGTGCGTGCTCGTGCGTGTGCAGTTGCTCGCTCGATCCAACGGCCAACCGCCAACTTTTACAAATATACTTTATTAGCTTCGCACGCATGTTTACAGTCTAAGGATCGCACACGATCAGTACACGTTACGACGCGACACCGTATAACTTTAATCGCAAAGGAAGATCGCACTGATTGCAGCAAGTGAGCGATTGTGTGTGTATGATGTGGTACGAAGAAGAAACAAGAAAAAGTTCGTCGTCCGACGACGAATTCGGTGAAAGTTATGATGACGAGGGCAGCGATAGAAGCGACTATGATCCCGTCGAGCACATAAAATGTGTTAACCTAAAAAAATTAGCAAGGTTGAAGAGTATGCGCGAAAAGGTCAATTTGAAGAACGAAGATGAGCGATTTCCATTTCTCAGAAAACTTTTTTCCTTGGCGAAACATTGGAAGGGCAAACGTCCTGATCTTCGAGACATATTTCAAAACGAAGAAATCGAGGCTCTTCTCGAAGATGCCGTTCAGTATGAAGATGGATGGGTCGACAGATATAAAGGAGCACTATTCATTCGTTTCGTTGCTGAGACCGGCTACAAACACGAGCCATACTTTAATAAATACGGCGATCCATTTTTGCGTATCACTACGCCAGTGCATCTCGCTATGGATGTTGGCCCTACCGAGAATGACACGGTCAATAATCTTTTTCAAATATACGACAGATACGATGTGAATTACACAAACGTTGACGGTCTGACTCACTTTCATGTGGCCTGCAAATTCAACTGCTGTGGAGTCGTTAAAAAATTCCTCGATTTAGGGCAGAATCCCAATATCGTCGTGCCAAAAACAGGTGCTTCACCGCTTCACTTGGCTCTGAACGACGGACACAAAAAGGTGGTCGAATTGCTGTTAAAAAATGTAGCCGATCCGAATTGGGCCGATAAGTATGGATCGACACCTTTGCATTTTATTTGCAAAATTAACAACATTGATCATACATTTATTGACGAAGATACTTACGAATGTGTTGACGAATATCGTGACTTCGTGGAGCTGTTCTTCAAGATAAATAACGAGATACAGCAAACTGTGAAAATCGACGCCCGGGACAAGTGGGGCAGGACGCCGTTGCAATGGGCCGTGGCGAGTCTCAAGCCGGATGTGTTCGACGTACTCTTGGATCGTGGCGCTGATCTGTCCAGTTTTGTTTTCCCCACTGAGGATTACTTCGGCGAATTTTGTACTCAGCGACACGAAGAATCATGGCCACATTTTACATTGAGAGTAGCGTCTAGTGTTCTGATCACCGTGGAACGTCTCGAGAAAAGAGGATACGTGCTGAAACAAAGCGACGCCCAGACGATTTTACAATTGTTCGTCGAGTACAATTTTTTCGGAAGGTCGGGGGATCTCAAAAAATGGTGGTATGACGATTCGCGTTTTGTAAGAGGTGCTAAAAAATTGAAAATGATGAATCCGAATCTGTCGCTCTACGACGTTATCCAATTACGACCCGAAGAGGCGGCGAAACAACTAACATATAAGGACTACTTCAAGTTCAATTACGCAAATAGATGCTGCTATCCTTACGGAGTTCGTTGTTCTTACCATCCGCTCGAAATAATGCTGAGAAAATTTTGCCGACGATGGACACTGGAACCGTTTATGGAGCTGACCCGCCATCGACTGCCAATTCTCTGCTGTGAAATGATCTTGGACCAGCTAATGAATCGAGATTTATGTAACGTTTGCTTGGCAACAGACAGCAGATATTTCATGTAATTCAAATAAATATAATTAAAAATTCATTGGTTTTCTTAAATTTTTTATGTTTGTTTTCATTTAATATGCCTAATCTTCCATTTTACTCAAATAGACAAAATAAAACAAAATTGAATTCTTAATTTGAAAGATCATATCGAAGTTTCACATTATATCTCGCAATCCGTTTCCTTTTTCGTTGAATTTTAGTAATTTCCTTGAAATTTTTTTAGATTTTCTAATTTTGAATGATATGAATTTTTTTCGCGTGCGTTAATTTAAGAATAGCTATTGAAACTGAACTTATTTCTATAAAAAAAATTAAAACCCCAAAAAGTTGACAATTTAAGAAAAAAATTCAAACCAAAGTAACTTTAAAATTTAATTTATAAAAAAATTAAGATTCTAAATGATTTGAATTAAATTGTAGTACCCAAATTCAACCTTTGAGTAAACGGATTTCACTTATGTAATCGAGACTACATAATATCATCATCTAGTCCGTTTTCTCGAATTGTAGTAATTTCATTCAACATATTTTTGCCCCTATTTCAGGCGCTCATCGAGTAATTAATGGGAAAATGAGCGAGCGTGTTGACGTAAAGTTCGGAATCTGACACTTGAGCGCTTTCCATCACAGGCTCAAAACCAATAGCGTCGTGAAATAGAAATCTCTGCCTCTCTCACATTGTTGGCATCGTGCTCGCGTGCGGGTCTGTCTGCTTCGCTCACGTTTACAGTCCCACGATCACAGGCGTGACGGTGTAAACTTATACGTTACGAGTAGACATCACTGCTTAGCTTAAAGCGCATTGAGGAAGATCGAGCACCGACTACAGCTGGGGATTTTTGTGAAACCGTTTGCGTATAATGTGGTGGTCCGAAGAAAATTCATTTTCGCAGTTACCTTCCTCGTCGCGGTCTGAAAACGACGCTTTCTATATTGAAGAAGGCGAAATTGCCTACTATGATTTCCGGCCAACGGATTATCAAAAAAAATTGGAAATTTTGAAGATTGCGCGTGAAAAGGTCAATTTGTGTAACTCAATAGAGCGATCAGTATTTCTTCGCGAACTTTATCCCTTACTCAATCATTGGAATTACGAACTCCCTGATCTTCGAGACATTTTTCAAAAAGAAGAAATCGAGGATCTTCTCATAGATGCCGTTAGAAATAATGAATACAAAGGAGACCAATTTATTCATTTCGTTGCTAGCACTGATTACAAGCACGAGCCCGACCTAGATCAAAATGGCAAACCGCTGCTAAAGCACACTACTGCACTGCATCACGCTAAATATTCGATCCGTAAATGTGATCACCCCTACTCGTATATCAAAGTCAGTAATCTTTTTAAAATATACGACAGATACGACGTCAATTACACCGATGAATTTGGATTAACGCATTTCCATGTGGCCTGCAAGTTCAACTGTTTAGATGTCGTCGAGAAATTCCTCGAACTTGGACAAGATCCCAACTGCCTCGACACAATAACAGGTGATTCGCCCCTGCACTTGGCTGTGAACGCCGGACACAAAAAGGTGGTCGAATTGCTGCTAAAAAATGGAGCCGATCCGAATTTGGCCGATATGTCTGGATCGACACCTTTGCATATTATTTGCAAAAGTGATGATTATTACCAAGTGAATGTCGAAGATTGTAACGAAGGTAATAATGAATATCGAAAGTTAGCGGAGCTGTTCTTCAAGATAAACGACGAGATGCAGCAGACCGTGCAGGTTGATGCCCGGGACAAGAAAGGCCGGACACCTCTTCAAAGGGCTGTAGCGCATCTCAAGCCGGAACTAGTCGACTTACTCTTGGATCGTGGCGCTGATCTGTCCAGTCTCGTTTTCAAGGAATCATCGATATATTTTAAATTGAGAGTAGCGTGTGACACTCTGGATGTCGTTGAACGTCTCAAAAAAAGAGGATACGAGCTGGAACGAAATGAGGCCCAGACGATCATGGCAGACTTCGTTGATCATGATATACTCGAGAAGTCGGAGGATCTTGGAAAATGTTGGCACAAGGACGAAAGGTTCACATGGTTGACGAAAATAATAATGATTAAACCGAATCTGTCACTCTACGACGTTATCCGATTGCGACCCGAAGAGGCGGCGAAACTACTCACATACAAAGATTACTTCAAGTTCCAGTACGTAGATGAACGTCGGTACATTCCGGTCTGTGAATTTCACCCGCTCGAGATAATGCTGAGAAGATTTTGCCGACGATGGGCACTGGAGCCATTTATGGAGCTGACCCGCCATCGTCTGCCAATTCTTTGCTGTGAAATGATCTTGGACCAGCTAATGAATCGAGATTTATGTAACGTTTGCTTGGCAACAGACACCAGATATTTCATGTAATTCAAATAAATATAATTAAAAAAATTGAATTCGTTTATTTTCTTAAATATTTTGTCTGTTTTTATTTAATATTCCCAAGTCTTTTTTATCCAAATAGGTATATTAAAAAAATTGAACATGAAGAAGTTTCACATTATATTTTGCATTTTTTTTAAAATAGCAAATGATTGATTTTAACAATAATCTTTTTCTTTTCTAAATATTCCAATTTTTCTCCAATTGTTTCACATTATCTTTATAAGTAATAATACACGGTTTCAGAGTTGTTTCCATCTCGGTTAAATTTTTGTAAATTTATTTATCCTTTTTCAGATATATCGAGCAATGAGATCGTAGTATAGACTTGATTAACGGTGCTCATGTATCTATTAATTGTTACGACTATTACGCAGCACCTCGTGTAGATCGTCCGTCTCGCGCGTAAACAAATACACAGTAGTAGCTCGTACAGTTTCGCGCGCGTACGTACAATAATATCGGCCTATTCAGTACACGTTACTCGACGTCGCGGTGTAAACGGCCGAAAAGAACAAAAGATCGCGTCGATCCAAAGTAGAAAAAAAGTCTCGAATCGCCAAGCAGCAAAGTCATGTCGTTTCAGTCGTTCTCGTTGTGCACGGAGGTTCTCCGGAAATCTCGAGCGGGTGTCAATTTTCAAATCGCAGCGGAGCGACGCGCTTACCTCGATGCCATTTTACCCACGATCTGCAATTGGAACGGCGGTCATCCAAATCTACGAAATATTTTTCATCCCGACGAGATCGAGCTGCTTCTGTTCGAGTCCGTGACGCACGAGAACGACGAGTTCATCACGTTCGCGGCCCGTAGCGGCTACAAAGACCAGAAGGTGGTTTACGGGGACGACGGCCGGCCGACGTCGATTCGCGCCACACCGCTGCACTTGGCGTCCAAACGCCCGAACAACTTCGTCATGGTCCGCGACCTCTTTGACATATACGACGAGCGCGACATAAACTTCACCAACGAAGAGGGATTGTCGCATTTGCACGTGGCCTGCAAGACCAACATGTGGTACGTGGTCAGGTCGTACCTCGACAGAAGCCTGGAGCACGTGAATGACCTCGAGCCCGAATCGGAATGTCCACCGCTGCACTTGGCTCTGAACCGCAAGTACGACACACTGATCCAGTTGCTGATCGAGAAGGGCGCCGATCCGAATCTGGCCAACGGGGAAACGTACACGCCTCTGCACGTCGTTTGCGGCACGGAATACACCGACGACGAGAGCTCGAAAATCGCCAGTCTGCTGTTCGAGCACAACGCGGGAAAAGTCTCGGCGGTGCAGGTGGACGCCCGGGATCTGCTGGGCAACACGCCGCTGCACATGGCTCTGTCCTGGGACAAAAAGAAGACGGTGAAGCTGCTGCTGAACGAGGGCGCGGATCCGAACGCCGCCAGCATCGAGGGATCGACGGCTCTGCACGCCGTCTGCAAGTCCGCGCGCTGGAACTACAAGTTGATAAGGCTGCTGTACACGCACAGCAAGCACGAGATACTGCCCGACGTGCGGGACGAGCTCGGCCGGACGCCGCTTCAATGGGCCGTGGCGAATCTCGCGACGGACAGCGTCCGCGAACTCTTGGAACGCGGGGCTCGAATCAATCAGTTCACGTTTCCCACCGAGGATTACTTCGCCAAGACGTTCGTGCGACGGCCCTCGGGTAACAAGTTGGAGGAGGTGGCCGGCGTCCTGACCATCTTGCAAACTCTCGAGAACGCGAGCTACGAGATCCAGCGAGTGGACGTACTGGCCGTCCTGCAATTTCTCGTCAAGCAAGATTTCTACCAGACAGCCCCGCATCTCAACGATATTTGGTGGACGAACGAGAAATTCGCGGAGGAGGCGCACTTGTCGATATTCAAGACGGCGGGACTCCAGGTGCCCATCACGCTCCACGACGTGGCTCAGACAAAGCCCGCGGACGCGGCGCGCCGCCACCCGTACAAGGAGTACTTCGAGTTCGCGACCGGTGCCCGCGGCCTGAGCGCGCTCACCCCGGCGCATCGAGATCACGCCGACGCGTTTCTGTGCGAGTCGCTGATACATAGATTTTGCACGCGATGGGGATACGTGACCGCCCTGATAATGGCTCAGATTAAATGTGATCTTGAAAGACACAGGAAAGATAAGAGGGAATGAATGGATCCACGAGGACGAATGGTAGAGGATTGGTGGATCGCGATGACAATCAGCATAATTGCATTACTTTTTTTATGCTACTAATGATTTGTAAATATCAAACAGATAAATACAACAAAAATTTTATTCATTAATTTGCTTGGATATTTTGTGTCTTTTTTTATTTAATATTTCAGATTTTCCGTATTATCCAAGTAAGCCAATTGAAAAAAAAATAATTCATTAATTTGTTTAGATTTTGATTTCAGTGTGCCATAATTTTAATCCAGTTACTTTAAAAAATCGTAGAGACATTTTACTTTCGGTGGCTATAGATTTTAAATGTAATCTTTTTCCTCTTCTATTTTTAAACCATTACAATCAGTGATTAAACAAAGTGCGGCTCACGCAAATTATCATTGAGATGAGCTCAGTTAAGACAGTTACTTTTTGAAAACTCGGAATATTTAAAATCGAAGCATATTTAAAACAAGTACTAAGGAAAGTAGTATTTTCCGCATTAGTTTTTGTCAAAAAAAATTATTGTTGCTACCGATTGAAGGAAATAATCAGTGTCCGTGCGCTGATTTATCAAAAAATAAAAAATGCGAGCAGTAGTAATTAGCAGTTATCTGATTGAAAAATGAAGCACCACGTGGTAGTACTACGACTGTTGACATAAGGTACAAAAATAGTTGATAGCAGGTTCAAGATAGATACAATCATATTTGCTCTATTTTTATTAACATTTTAGAAAATCTTGTACTTGAATATTTATATAAGTATCGATATATATTTACAATTGTCGAGAAAAAAAATCAATTTTTTCATTATTTGATTTGAGATACACATTATTTTTTGAGGAACTAGCAAGCATAAGACTGTGAGTTTGATAAAATCATATAAGCAACCAATTATTCATAAAGGCTGGATTGTCATTTGAAGGGAATACAATACCACATATATCTGAAATTATGAAATAAAAGCACATTTATCACATACGTAATCTTCGATGTAGGTACACAAAATCTCAATGATCTTCGAGGACTATCATATGGTGCTACAAAAGATCTATTTTACTTCCTTCGTGTACTGTCATTTTGTGTCTCAACAAGTCTGATTTGATTTCAAATTTACTCCCGCAATTTTCACATGCGAAATCTTTACGACCTCCGTGTCCTGTCCTTTGGTGGTAGAGCAAACTTATTTTATGTGAAAATTTCTTTTCACAATTGTCACATGCGTAATCTTTGCAACCTTCGTGGACTGTCTTTTGATGTAAAAGCAAATTCCCTCTTTGTCCAAATTTCTTTTCGCACTTGTCACAGGTGAAATCCTTGCAACCTTCATGTACGATCCTTTGGTGAACAAGCAAATTCTCTTTACGGCCAAAATTTTTCTCGCATTTGTCGCATGTGTAATCTTTGCGACCCTCATGGACTGTCTTTTGGTGGGAGAGCAAATGCGATTTTTGTCCGAATTTCTTTTCGCACTTGTCGCATGTGAAATTCTTCCGACCGTCATGTACGGTCCTTTGGTGGACAAGCAAATTCGATTTTATTCCAAATACCTTCTCGCATTTGGCGCATGCGTAATCTTTGCGACATTCATGGATTGTCTTCTGATGATGGAGCAAACTCGATTTTTGTCCAAATTTCTTACCACAATCGTCGCATGTGTAATCTTTACGACCTTCGTGGACTGTCCTTTGGTGTAAAAGCAAAATGCATTTGTATCCGAAATTCTTCTCGCATTTGTCACATGCGTTATCTTTGAGACATTCATGGATTGTCTTCTGATGATAGAGCAAACTCGGTTTTTGTCCAAATTTCTTACCACAATCGTCGCATGTGTAATCTTTACGACCTTCGTGGACTGTCCTTTGGTGAACAAGCAAATACCACTTGTGCCCAAATTTTTTCTCGCACTTGTCGCATGGGTAATTTTTGCGACCTTCGTGGACGCTCCTTTGATGTTTCAACAAAACTGAATTTCGTCCAAATTTCTTCTCGCATTTGTCACATGCGAAATTTTTAAGATTTTCATGTACCGTTTTTTGGTGTCTTCCTAAATTTCGTTCACTTACAAACTTCTGTTCGCACTTGTCGCATGCAAAATCTTTGCAATCTTCGTTTACTGTCTTTTGGTGCTTTAACAAATCTGATTTAGTTCGTAATTTCTTCTCGTACTTATGACATGCATAATCTTTGCGATCGTCATGGACTCCCTTTATGTGGGTTAGTAAACTGTGCTTACTTGCAAATCTCTTGGCGCACATTTCACATAAGTAATCTTTGAAAACTTCGTGAAATATTTTATTGTGCTTGAGTAAACTTGATTTATTTTCAAATTTCTTCTCGCACTTGTTGCAGGTGAAATCTTTGTTAACTTTGTGTACTAATTTTTGGTGAGCAAACAAACTCGATTGTTTTACAAATTTTTTCTCGCACTTATCGCATGCAAAATCTTTGCGGCCTTTGTGTGCTGATATTTGGTGTCTACTCAAATGACTTCGGAACTCAAATTTTTTCTCACACTCACCGCATGTGTAATTTTTGTGATCTTTGTGAATAGTGTCTCGATGTGTTATCATGCTTGATTCTAGTGAAAATGTCTTCTGACAAATATCACAAACGTATATTTTGTCATCCGAAACCACAATGTCTCCGCTTAAATTATCCATGGAGACAAACTCCTCGGCTTCCCATTCTATTTTATCCATTTTGGTGTGTAAATTCAACGATGGATACTTCTATTTAGTGTCACGGAAATTGAATGAGAAAAATTTATCTTTTGATGATATTATGACTTATTTCACGCGTAAAGACAAAATTTAAACCAATTTATTTTTACTGTAAACACAGTCAGTGTTCCACGGGTGATGTCAAA